ACCTCCCCCGTCCTCTGACACTCTGCTCGGGACACTTCCTACTCTTTACAGGTGACCACGCTTTTCTGGAAACTGCCACGTCTCTTCAACACCCCTCTCGTGAGGGCCCCTGTGTGAGCCAGTATTGAGAGTCCCGATTCCAGAGCCCTGTCCTCCCCAGGGGAGGTGGTCTGTGTGAGTGCCTCCCTGGCCCACTGCGCATCGAAGGCTGTGCTTCCCCAGGCCCACGGAACAGCTATGAGCACAGACATGGCTTCTTTTCCCCTTTCCCCAGTGAGCTCTGCCCCACAAGGACAGATGCCACACCTGTCACACAGCCCACAAGTACCTCCCAAGCACCTGCCACGCTCTAGGTTCTGGGGCCTCACCAAGGCAGGCAGGCATCCTGTGGTCCCTGAGCTCGCCTTCCAGTGCGGAAGACAGGGCTAAGCAAGATGAAGGGCACGGATACAGACAAAGGCCACTGAGCACGCAGCATGGAAAGCCAGAGAGAAGGCTCTGCCAGTGTTGGCGGAGGAGAGCGGGTTCACGGCAGCCCCAGGCCCCTCCTCATGTGCGGGCCGTCTGCAGACATCTGCAGCTTCTCCTAGCATCACGCCAGCCAGGACCCCCGTGGTGCTCTGTGGTGGCCTGTGTTCTGACAGTTACTAACATGTCAGGGAAAGGCTCCAAGCCAGGACTAGTCTACGGTCTCCAAGGTCCCGAGCTGTGGTGCTTGCTAGTCTACGGTCTCCAAGGTTCCGAGCCGGGGTGCTAGTCTACGGGTCTCCAAGGTTCCGAGCCAGGACTAGTCTACGGTCTCCAAGGCTCCGAGCCAGGACTAGTCTACGGTCTCCAAGGCTCCGAGCCGGGGTGCTAGTCTATGGGTCTCCAAGGCTCCGAGCCAGGACTAGTCTACCGTCTCCAAGGCTCCGAGCCTCCAAGGCTCCGAGCCGGGACTAGTCTACGGTCTCCAAGGCTCCGAGCCGGGACTAGTCTACGGTCTCCAAGGCTCCGAGCCGGGACTAGTCTACGGTCTCCAAGGCTCCGAGCCGGGACTAGTCTACAGTCTCCAAGGCTCCGAGCCAGGACTAGTCTTCGGTCTTCAAGGCTCCAAGCCAGTGTGCTAGTCTACGGTCTCCAAGGCCCTGAGCTGGGGTGCTAGTCTACGGGTTTCCAAGACGATTAGGAGGCAGTCCCAGGCCCTTGTCACACAGAAGACATCCACAGCTCAGTGATGGTGGGACATGGCTTTCCATGGCCACCAGGTGACAAAGAAACAAGGCAAAGCCTAGCGCAGTCTATTTCTGGACAGCCCCTAGAAGTGGCCCGATGCCACACTAGGCCAGGGAACAAATGGGTGTGGCCAATGACACCTACTTTTAAGGGGGATCACTAAAAATACCATGAAACTGAAACTCAGTTTGCTTCTGTAGCAGCCAATGGGGGACCCGACCTGAACCGTGACCGTGGCGTGGCAGGGTAAGCTGACACAAGTACATGGCATGTCCCCACGTCATCTGAGCAGGGCGTCTCCAGCGCATGGACAAGGCAACGCACGCTTAGGGTCTGTTTACAGAGCCTGCACCCAGGTCCCTACACCTTTGACAAATCTTAAAAACCAGGTTTCACCTTGACGTAAAGTTATTCTAATTTTGCAATTACTTCCTAAGCATTAAAAACTTTAAGAAAAACTGTGCCAAGACCAGCAGATGGCATAACGGCTATGTCGCTGGGCTCCCATGTAGTTGACCACAGTTCAAGTCCCGAGCCTGGTGGCTTCAAACTCACGCCGGGCGCGTGTGCGTGCGTGCCCAAGATCCTGAGAGGAGAATGGAGGAGAAGGGATTGCGACGTGGCCATCCCCCCTGGGGGGTGATTTCTCACTTTCTGTCTCTCTTTGTCTTTTGGGCGAGTGCATACGCCCTATAGCAAAGAAAAAAAGAACGATGTTTCTAAAGTTTGCCTTTGAATATTTCATGTGCCCTGGCTATCACAGGGAATGAAGAAAATCTTGAGATTAAGTATTTTATTGAAGAAAAAAGGCAAACTACTTTTGAAATAATCCTGGACCAAGACTGACCTCTGGGCAGAGCCAGAGGCACGCCTGGTCAACGGCGTCCTCTTGACCAGCCGGGGACACGGCCTGGGCAGTCCCGACAAGTTCTCCCAGGACAGACAAACGCTTCCTGTTTTTCTGAAGTGTGCGAGCCACCAAGGAGCCGGCATCAGACTCAGGCCAAAGTGACAGTTTGGGTGAAGGCCAGCTTATTCCCTAAGGGGATAAGCTCAATTTATTTCCCTGTGGAAAGGTGAATTCCACAATCGGTCAGAACCAACTAACCTGAGGAGAAGTGGAGACCGGGGCACGTGTTTTGACCCCACACACTGGTAGAAAATGGAATTAAAGTACAATCTTATTCCGGCACAAAGATGAGAACCATAGAGTTCTCTCAATACCTGCATTTCAGTAGACTGTTTGAAGGCCTCCCCTCACAAACACATTTTAAAGAGATAAATCATTAAAAACTGCTTTTGGCCCTCCAGTTTTGAGCCAAGGTTCTCTGAAAGAACGCAGTGGCTTGCAGTTGCAATGAGGCTGCCTGTCCTACTCTCGTTGCGTAGACCTTCCCAAACACCTGTCCCCGACAGCCTGAGGACAAGGACACGGTGCAGCCGGGGGTCAAGTGCCATGGCGGCACAGCGGGACCACCTGGCCAGACCGAGGCTTCGGAGCAGCCCTGAGCGGACGACCCAGCAGGTGCTGCGTGCCTCCACTGCGCACGGAAATGCATGCTCCCGGCACTGCAGGCCTGACCTGTCCACCCCAGGAGCTCGGCACACACTGGTCGTCTTATAGCCTCTTAACAGTTAAAGCACTTTTCAGAGCATCTAGGAGGTAAAGGGAGCCACTCCTGGCCACGTGCTACCTAATTTTAGACAGAAACTTGGCGTGAGAGCATGCCAGAGCTCGTGCCTAACTCAGAGCCGCCACGCTCTGGCAGCCATGTGCGCCCGCCTTTGTCTAGAAACTCGTACATCGGGGGCACTGTCTACCTGCGCCCCGTTGCCCGTCTTCCCTGCATTCTCTCTCTGACAACTCTATGGGAGACCGAGAAGCAGTCTTCTGAGCTTTAGGTTCAAAAGAGGGATAATGTTAGACACTGGGGCAAGGGTTTTGGCTGAAACGTGGTCTAGAGAAGCAGCCAAGATGGGCCGGGCCAACCAGTGCAGACGGCTCCGAGGCCTCCCCACCCCACGCACCAGTGGCACGGTGAAGGAGGGGCCCGACCCCCAGCCCAGCTGCTGCCCGGGCCCCGGGCTGGGGCTCACCCTCGCCCCGTGCTGCTCTGGCTGCTCACGTGTGCGTGCCTACCTGCCTTCTCACCCAGGCAGACACTACTGGGAAGCAGCTGCGTCCCGTCTGTCCTTCTACCTAGCAAAATACAGCACACCGCCTCGCACATGGAAGACGCCAGTCTACACGGTGGAAACCTAGGCCAGATCATCACGACTTCCACTTATTAAAAGTGCCACTTGAGAAAGGGAGTGAGCACCCGGGAGGCCAGTACATGTTTGCCCATGAAAGACTCCTGCCGGGAGGCAGCTCACAGGTCTGCGGGAGCTCTGCTCTAAGACGTCAGAGTTCCCACAGACGGGCTCTCGGAGCTTCGACCAATCAGACGGCAGGTACACATGTAAGTATGAGCATGTACCTAGCTAGACTACTCACACGTCTACCCTGAATAATCCCAGTGCCTTTCTACTGAAGAACAGGCATCTCGAATGGCCAGAACCATAATGGGAGGGTGAAGCAGCTCAGAGGGGCCTTTGAAGTCATCCAGCTTAGCTTTCACCAACACAGCAAGCCGGCGAGGCAGTCTACGAGCACGCTCAGCGCCAGCCCACTGCCACCTGCAGCCCTGGCACCCAGGATACCCAGACACTCTTCTCAGGAAGGAGCTGTGGGCTCTGGTGAAACACTTCCTCCACGGAGCACATAAGGCAGGCCGTCCGCTCGGAGACCTTTCTGCAGACTTGCTTTGTGACTGCGACCCGTCTGCGGACCCCAGAAACCAGTGCACTCACTGCTCCACAGAGTGGGGCCCAGGGCTCTGAGAGGCCACGTCCTAAGACGCTGCATCTGCTGCACCAGGCTGGGAACAGGGAGTCATCGCCTCCACTGGCTTCACCAACCATGTGACCAGAAGAGCAGGGTGTGGCCCCGAGTACTGCTCCCCAGGCGGCAGTAAGCACTCCCTGGAAGGCAGGGGATATAAGCTGACAGGTCCTCCTAGCTCCGAGCGGGCCCTGTGGGCTACTGCTCTGTGGGTGCTTCTTTTTTTTTTTTTTTTTTTTTTGAGAGATTTTTGCTATAGGGCGCGTGCGCTCGCCAGACAGACAGAGAGAGACATAGAGATAGAAAGCGAGAAATCACCCCCCAGGGGGGATGGTCACGCTGCAATCCCTTCTCCTCCATTCTCCTCTCGGGATCTTGGGCAGGCATGCACACACGCCCGACGTGAGTTTTAAGCCACCGGGTCCGGGACACGAACTGCGGTCGACTACGTGGGAGTCCAGCGACATAGCCATTACGCTAACTGCTGGTTCCCTGTGGGTGCTTCTTTGACCCGCTAATCTCTGCCTGGTATGTGACTCAGTCAAGCTCTTGGTCTGTGGGGAAAGTTCTGGTTTCTCCACTGCGGCCCTTCTCCCAACTTTTCAACCTTTTAACCAAGAAAGAAACCTGCTGGTAATGGTCCTAACCTAAGGATAATTTCCATATGAGAATCTTCAATATTTTACAAGGTGATTTTAAAATTATATGGAACACTTTAAAGCTGCCATCGAGTAATGTGAGGAAATGGCTCTCTTAGTGACTGGCTCTGACTTTTCTTAGAGAGATACCCTATCACAGCCTCAGCTGTCTGTTCTACAGGGTGGCCCCATAGCAAGGCAACCGGAGAGCGCAGCGCGGACAAGACCGACAGGAGTCAGAACTGTACCTTTTTGGCACTTTCAGGCCCTGATTCATCAAAGCGAAACCTGACAATTCTGAAATCTTTACAATAAATAATCAACTCTGTGGGATTAAACTTCAGCTTCTGGTTGGGGCCTAGGACTTTCTGCTTCCTCTTGTAGTCATTTACTAAAAAAGAAAAAGAGAAGAGAAAATGTAAACTTCTTTCCAGTTATCACCCTTGTGTACTAGGCCAGCGGAGGCCCCCTCCCTGGACAGTGGTGCCGCATCATCTGTCAGTGCAGCTGTAATTCTCAGAACCTCGGAGGGGCGGTCGGTTTAACACTGCCTTTGAAGACCTTTAAAAGGAGCTTCTCTATAAAACCACTGCTATCTAGATACATGTAATGATTAAAATTTTAAGTAAAAATAGGACAAAGACCAAGAAACTATAATGTATTCCCATTTAAAGTAATTTATTGACGTGTTCCTTTTCATTAATGTTACTAGGAGTCAAAATTAAAATAGCAAAAATAAACCTACGGAAATAAAAATCCCAGCCAAGCAGCTGAGAGTCAAGTGTTTGCAAGCAGCACCTCGGGGACAGTGGGCACGGGCCCACGTACCTGTGACAATCCGCTCCACGCAGGTCAGGGGCACGTCATGCTCTCCAAGGAGGAGGTTTCTGTAGTGGGACTTCTGCAACGAGAATGGTGCTCGCGTTAACTCCTTCCTTGGAAACCGCGCCCTGGTTAGGCGCGCCTGCCTTTGAGTGGTGACAGGAACCACGAGGTGCCTCTAGAGAGCGCAGAGAGCAGAGCAGCACAGGCCACAGCCGCACCCTCGCCCCTCCCTTTCCTGCACTTGCTCAGAGACGCGCAGAAACTACACACCCGTGGGCACAGCGTTATTTCTCAGCACCAAAATGCAACGTGGACGACGACATCCAGGCTATGAGCACACACGCCTTCTCAGCCGTTTGTCATATTTTGAGCTGAGCCATTTGGAACCCATGTGTGGCTCTGAGGTGTCACAGGAAGTCGTGCAGCACAGGCTCCCGCGGGGTCTGGTCGCAGGAGTGGCTGCCCCTTGGGCCTGCTCATCGGCGTCCCTCGAGCCCCTCCCTCCCGGCTCTCTGAGTCGTTCCTCGACTCCACGTCCACGATGCCATTCTGCTCACGTTCCACGTGAGTGAGAAACCCGCTGGTTCCAAACAAACCAGGACATTAGGCTGTACACCACACACTGAGACTCAATGTGACGCCACCGGCCCCTTCAGGGACAGACTTCAGCGCATCTAGCTCTGGGGAAGTTGGTCACCAGCCTTTAACAGGTGAAACTCACAGCTGATTTCACAGTGCTGACGTCAGGGTGGAAAACAACGACATCTATCAAGAATAAAACCCTCTAGAGAAAGTTTACAACGAACCATTGCCCACATCTTCCACCTGTGAACGCTGCACGCCCACCTTCAGACTAAAGACCTGGCGAACACGCCACCCTGCTGCCAGGAGAAGCTAGACACAGCGTCTCAACAGCAGTCCTGGGTTTACGCCATCCGGCACATGCTTCTCACGCCATCGAGTCAGGGGTCAGGGTCTCAAAGGAGCTAAAACTACATGACAAGATGCAAAGCAACATCCAGAGGGGCTACCGTGCCCGTGTCCCAGGCCGTAAGTGCCTCCCGCACCACACGCCTGCTGACGACTGAATTCCACGCACGCACAGGTAGGCTCCAGGAAGTCCTGAACGACTGTGAGCAGCAGACTCACACGGCAGCTCTTTCAGCAGGAAGTAAGTGCCCAGCCGTCACACTGAGGAGCAACCACTACTATACAGACAGATGCAAGGCAGAAGCGCGGCCTTCCCAGACCCCAGCAGCACACAGCGGAGGGGACGGGAGGTGACTGCCCGAGCTGCTGTAAGCCAGAATTACAGGGCCGTGCTTTCCAGCAAGGACATAAAATAGCAACAGGCTGGCGAGGAGAGGGTTATGCTTCTTTGTTCATTCTTACTATACACTCAAAACCAGAGTCTGGCATTTTGGGAGAGTAATCAGTTAAAAAAATAAAACCAATAAAATGGGCACAATTTATCAGACTATCTATTAAATAACTAAGTTTTTCCTCGATATGACTAAGAAAAAAGGGTATCTTTCCTTTACAAGCAGGAGCAAGATTTGGAAGGGAGGAAGTGACCCCCTTATCGCGAAGAAAGCGTGGGCAATGACAGCAGCGAGACAGGGTGACACAGACCGCCTCCTCATCCCCGTCCTCCCGCAGGCCCCAGGGCGCTTCTTTCGCCTCGTCTGGGATCACCGCACACTCTCATAGATCGATCGTTATTGATTAGTCCGAATCTGTGGTCTACACATAATGCCAATCAGTGTGGGGGTCAAGGCCCTCCAAAACGAAGTGGCGTGCACACAGACACCCCAGGGTGGGCCCCGTGGCCCAGTGGGCAAGCCCTGTGCACGGGAGGTGAAGCCACATGGCCAGCCAGCTTAGACACATGCTGGGGCCGGCAGGCGGAGTGGAGGTTAAGGTGCTGGACTCACACGGCTGACCACGGTTCACTGACTGCGTCCTAACCCTGGCAGATCGCTCTCTCTCTATCTCTCTGGTCAAATTAAAAATATAATCATTAATAATTTATTTTTTAAAGTACAAGTTTATTTAAAAACAAACAAAAAATGCTGGGTGGGTCACTGGTGGGTAGTTGTTGAAGTGCTGAACTTCCACATGGCTGACTGCAATTCAAGTCCCAGACCTGGCAGCTTGAAAATCACGCTGGGCACAAAATCTCTGGAGGAGGAACCGTGGTGTGGCCATGCCCCTAGGTGAGCTCCCCCTCCCCCTCTCCCTCTCACTGTCTCTGTCTCTATCCTCTCCTGCAAGCACCCCTACAGCAAAAACTTGTAAAAAATTAAAATGCTGGGTACGTGTGTGCACTCCCCAAGCCCTGACAGGCTGGAGGAGGAGAGGGCCGTGGCGTGCGTGGCTGTGCTCCGTGGGGGATGCTTCCTCTCTCTGGACCTGTCTCTGCTGAGAGTGCATGCCTCTGGCGACAATGAGAACGGATGAGGAGACGCACCTGTGACGGCACGGGGTCGTCAGTGAGGAAGGAGACCCTGAAGTTGCTGCAGACCAGTTTGCCCCACAGGTCGTACTGGCTCGTGTCCGCTGCGATGCATTTCCTCACAAAGCTGACTTCATTCACGATGACCTCTCCTTAGGAAAGGGAAATGAAAACACCGGATCAGCACAGTGCACCACAGCGCAGCAACAGACGCCGTGTGACCTAGCCAGGGCACCTTCATGGCAAGGACGGCAAGCAAGACACTGGCTGACCACGGCCGGGCGCAGGCCCTGTGGTGCTCTCTGCCCCACAGCGGGAACAGGAGACACCGACCCCCACACGCAAGGCAGACGCAAAGGAAGACGAGCTCGGAGGCCCCCCGCGTCTGCACTCGCCACTCACTCTCCCAACCGGTGTCTTCAGTCCCGTTTGTAAGGGATAGAGTCAGAGGGCAACTGTGTCCCCACCAAGCCGAATCGGCCCCACAGTTGGGTTACACCTTACCCGGGCAAAGCTTGAACTCAGCCTGAGCTAGAGGGCGGGTGGGCCCAGCCGCAGCGGCACAGGCAATAGGGCAGTGTCATGTGGCCCAGAGCCCTGCACGGCCTGGGCTGAGTCCCGGGCCCACCTGGCACATGGGGCACACCATGTGCACCCACGAGCCCTGGCTGGCCAGAGGTGCCCGGCAAGGGTGCCCCTCTTTCTGTGAGGCGGACATAAACGCCGCAGAACGGTAAAACGTGATGCTGCACGGCTGGCCACGTGGGAGCTCCAGGCTGGCACTGGACACCCTGGAGGATCCGGGCCACGCGGGCCCAACCCGGGGCTGTCTGAAGTCAGGAAGGCAGCTGTCAAGACCAGTTACAGATGCAGTCTATCTTGACCACTAGTTTTGTTTTGTTTTTGGAGAGATTTTTACTATAGGCATGTGCGCTCACCAGAGAGAAAGAGACAGAAAGCGAGAAATCACCCCCCAGGGGGCATGGCCACGCCACAATTCCTTCTCTATTCTCCTCTCGGGATCTTGGCCATGCACGCACATGTGCCCAGCATGAGCTTAAGCCACTGGGTCCGGGACTCGAACCCCAGTCAACTAGGCTACACGGGAGGCCACTGACCCACCACGTGGGAGCTCCAGGCTGGCACTGGACACCCTGGAGGATCCGGGCCACGCGGGCCCAACCCGGGGCTGTCTGAAGTCAGGAAGGCAGCTGTCAAGACCAGTTACAGATGCAGTCTATCTTGACCACTAGTTTTGTTTTGTTTTTGGAGAGATTTTTACTATAGGCATGTGCGCTCACCAGAGAGAAAGAGACAGAAAGCGAGAAATCACCCCCCAGGGGGCATGGCCACGCCACAATTCCTTCTCTATTCTCCTCTCAGGATCTTGGCCATGCACGCACATGTGCCCAGCATGAGCTTAAGCCACTGGGTCCGGGACTCGAACCCCAGTCAACTAGGCTACACGGGAGTCCAGTGACACAGCCATTACGCTCTATGCTGGTCCCAAGTTGGTTTGTTTTTGTTTTTGTTTTTGTAAGAAAAAAGTAATTTAAAATCTTAAGGGGGGGAAAAGAGTAGATTAAAGAAAAAAAACAAAAATTATAATGTGCTTTAAGGAAGAATAATTATCTGTAGTCCATTTAAAGTTTGGTCATCATTTACAGCTTGAAACCTTAATTTGAAGATCTCAATCTAGACCTGTGAACATTGTTTAGCCATTAGGTTACAAGGTCAATGGTAGAAAACTTAGGGTCCTGATCTGCTCTGTTTATTTCTGTCTTTATACAAATCTGTAACAGGGGCTAGCAGGTGATTTGGGGGCGTCGGACTCCCACATGGCCGATCATGGTTTGAGTTCCGGAACTAGTAGCTTAAAAATCATGCTGGGCACATGTACCCAAAATCCCAAGAGAAGGGATGCAGCCTGGCCATCCCCACTAAGGGGTGGTTTCTCATTTTCCCTCTCTGTATCTCTGTCTCTCTTCTCTCTGTGAGCACATGCGCCCTAAGACAAAAAGCTAAAAAGAAACAAAAATCTTTTAACAATGAGTAGGACCTGTCGACAATCCCCAAACATCTAACAATACATGAGAGGTGAAACTATAGTCTCAAAAGTCTTGTAACTAAAACGTTATGATAAATTTGAATTGCAGTAGTAACTTTTATTCAAAGTTTTAAAAAATGCACAGGCTAGTTTTTGGGGCTTTTTTTTTTGGCTATAGGGTGCATATGCTCGCCAGACAGAGAGAGACGGAGAGACAGAAAGTGAAAAATCACCCCCCCGGAGGACGGCCAGGCCGCACTCCCTTCTCCACTCAGGATCTTGGGCACACACGCACACTGGCGTGAGCTTTAAGCCCCCGGGTCCGGGACTCGAACCGCGGTCACCCTCATGGGAGTCCAGCGACACAGCCATTACGCTATCTGCTGGTTCCTGCACAGGCTAGTTTTAAGAACAGCTCCCTAACTACTTGAGGCTTAAATTCAGATATGCCCATGTCAACCTCCACTGAGACCAGCCTCCTGCACATGGTGCACCAGGCCCTGGTCACCTCGTGTGAGCCGCCTCCCTCAGCAGCTGCCTCGGCCAGAAAGTGTCCCCGACACTGAGCTGCCGGCGGTCGTCCAGGCACACCCGCAGGAGGCGTGCCTGTTCCTCATGCCTGCTCTCCTCCGGTGCCCGTTCATGTGAGAAACCACGCTGAGCATCCCACAGTATCTGCTCTCTGGGAGGCACAGCGTACACGGGGCAGCAGATGGGCCTGTGGGGTGCGGGGCCACACTGGCACCCCTGCCAGCCGCACACTAGGCACACGCTCACAAAGCACTTCTCCACAGGTCCTCTTACTGACACGCAAACGGAAAATGTCAAGCTCCCGAGAGCGAGGCAGAGAGGAGAATGCATTTCTTGGGTTCAGGGGATGGTGAACCACAGCCCAGGGGTCAAATGCAGACCCTGCTCCTGTCACAAACTTGCTGAAACAGAGGCGCATGTACTCAGGAGTCAGGGACTGCAGGCTGGCTTCTCCCGACAGCGTGAGCTGTACACCCCATTGAGCTATTAGCACTCCATGTGCAAGGGCTACAGGCCACCGAGCTGGGGACGGGGACCGAGTGACAACTGCTCCCAACCAGCCCTGGAGTCTGGGGAGGTGTGGTGGGGCCCCTGCCTCAGAGGCAGCTGCTTTCCACAGCAGCGACCTCAGCAAGCTCTGGAGGACACTCAGGGCAGGAATGTTCTCCTGGGGTGGGGCATGAGCCAGGGCATTTGGAGGCAGCACCTGCTTGCAAGACAGGACTCTGCACAACTTTAAAGGAGGCGGCTCGGCCCTCCTGAAAGCCAGCTTACAGACCAGGAAGGACCAGGAAGGGAAGGAAGCCGGAGCAGCCTCTTGCCAGAAGGGTGTTCTGACTTCCTGTTTGCATTTCAGTCAGTGACCTTGAGGAGATCGCTTGCAGTAGCTTCCAAACCCCAGGGACAGGAGGTGTGCCCTCAGGCTGTACTCCTGCACTGTCCCCAGTGCCCAGGGTGCGGGGCTGGGGACGGCTCCTCCTGGCCAGTGAGGAGCCGCAGTGCCCAGCCTAGTACACCACAAAGCAGCCCCAGCTGGTGGTGGAGGCGAAGGCAGAGCTGTGAAGACAGCACAGAACAGCAGTGGCAGGGCAGGGCCGCAGACGGCCCTGCAGAAAAGCCTGCCAGGTGGGTGAGGGGCCCATGGTTCGTGACAGCCTGGGAGGGGTCAGGCAGCACCAAGTGTGTTTCTTGCAATAGGAAGATAAAGAAGAGAGGAAATACCATTCAGGGCAGTAAATTTCCAGATGGCAAGGCTGCAGAACTTAACTCCCTGAGGACCAAAACACGAAGTTACGTTGCTTTCCGTAACACCTATGCTCAGGAAGCCGACACGGGTCTGACGAAGATGCCACCTTCCCCGTCAACCCCAGGAAGGAAAACAGCACAGGACCAAGTCTTGCCGAGCACAGCAGCCAACAGGCCCAGAGCGCACACACCCGGGGCTCAGAAAAGGAGACCCAGCCCCAGCTGCCAGTGGCAGGGGAGCCCACAAGGG